ACTGCCCCAGCAGAAGCTGCTGACCTGGCTGAGTGTGCTAGAATGCGTGGAGGTCTTTGCAGAGATGGGGACAGCCAGGGTGTGGGGGGAGATGGGCCGGTGGACCATCATTGTCCTCATCCAGCTGGCTAAGTAAGTGCTGTGGGGGGAAGGGGGCAGCGTGCTCTCAGAAAGGGAATCTGGAGGGCACTCAGTTGCAGGAAAAAGACCAAGCAGGACTGAGCTGCTAGTCCCTGAGGCTGGGAGAGTTTGGAGCCCCACAGGGTACTGGATATTGTGCCACAAAAGGGAATGTTTACACGTCTCACCTTGCCAGTTGCTCTGAGCAGACCTGAGTGTTTCCCTCTTCAGTGGAAGCCACCTGTCCAGTGCAACAGGAGCCCAGCTGCGTAGTCTGGTACTGAAGGCTTCCACGTGTCTGTTCACAGAGCCATCCTGCGTCTCCTCCTCCTGCTGTGGTACAAAGCTGGCATCCAGATGTCTCCTCCCATCGTGCCACTGAACAGGGAGCAGCAGCAGCCTCTCCACCCTCAAGGTGATCCCATGGTGTTGTCATCGTTGGCTTAGTGCCTTGCTGAGCCACATGTCTTGTCCTGCTGGAATTACTTATCAGACCAGTGGTTTGTGCAGCAAGCTGTAAGGTTTCAGTACTCAAGGCTGAGCTGTGTTGAACTTCCCACCCTTTGCAGAGGACGAGTTAGCTTAGTGGCAGGGATGTCTTACAGTGTGAAAGCAGGAGATGGAGAAGTCTAAGCCAGGAACTGCTGGCTGAACAGGGAGTCAGGCTGCATGTTCCCCAGTCTGACAATGAGAAAAGAGGTCCTAGGCCTGGGCAGTGTCAGGTAGATTTACCTTTTCACCCTCTGCCTAGCGTTAGTCCGGTTTGCGCTAGATCAGCTTTTCAGTCTGCTCTTCCTTGGTGGCAATGTAGGGGAGGGTGCTGCCAGCTCTGGGGTGAAGTGTATTGCTTTGAAGCCTGACCCCATGGCTGATTTCTTCTGCAGACACAGAAGGCAACTCTTCAGGGAAGGATCAGACCTATGTTGGCAGGCGTTCCAGCCGTGTTGTGCGCTCTCTCCAGAGCAGTAAGTAACTGTTTTCAACCTGAGGTGTTTCTGCTCTGTGCCCCTTATATTTGATGTGGGTGTGAGCAGTAAAGGGTAGAACCCTGTTTTGGGACATATCTTGCTAGTCACTAGGCCCACTGTGGGTGGGTGTGGATATCAAAGCAACGGGGATTCAGATGCGTGCTGCAAGGCTAGCACTTGAATTCTGTTTTCCCAAGTGAGCTGTGCAACAGAGACAACTCTTCATTAGGGTTATGCTTTGAGGAGCACAGATCCTATGGGGACCTCTACCTGCTCTGTCCCCTTTGGAGGCAAGCTTTGAGGGTGCTGGTCAGCCACAGCAATTGCTGTGTCTGCAGCTCTTCAAGCTTTCGTGTTTCACATCTTCACAGTGCAGAAAGCAGTGAGGTGGTGGTTCAGGGAAGCACGGTAGGAAGGTGTCCTGGTTTTGGCTGGGATAGGGTTGGTTTTCTTCCTAGTAACTAGTAGACTGCTGAGTTTTGGATTTATTACGAAATAATGTTGATAACATGTTGGAGGTTGTTGTGAAGTAGTGGTTACTCTAAGCCAAGGACTTTTCAGTTTCCTGGGCTCTGCTAGTGAGGAGGTGGACAAGAAGCTGGGAGGGAACATGGTCAGGATGGGTGACCTGAACTGGCCAAAGGGACATAGAATGTCACAACCATTATATAAACTGGGGGGAGTTGGCTGTGAGGGGCCAGTTGCTGGTTGGAGATGGGATGGGTATCAGTCAAAGGGTGGTGAGCAGTTGTGTTGTGTGTCACCTGTGTTTCTTGGGTTTTGTTATCTTCCTTTTTGTTGTTGTTATTATTATTTTACTTTATTTCAACTATTAAACTGTGATCTCAACCCATTAGCTTTACCTTTTTCTGCTTTTTCTCCCCGTTCTGGTCAGGGGGCGGGAGCGGGGAGGTGCTCCAGAGCCGGGGGAGTGAGCTAGCAGTTGTGGGATACTTAATTTCCAGCTGGGACAAAACTTTGTGTTAGTGACGACATCTGCTTGTTTCAGCCCCATCCCTGCAGTCCCGGCACTGGGGGTCTCCCCAGCAGAGGGAGGAGTCACAGAGCAGAAGAGCAGAGGAGATGAACCAGCCTCCCACCCCGCTGGGTCTCCAAGAAACTATTGCAGAATCCCTTTACATCACCCGCCCTCTGCTCCACCGTATCCTGCCCTGGCTGTGTGCAAGCTACCGCTGTGTGTGGTGCCGGCAGAGGGTGCTGCAAGCTTGGCCCTGGTGTAGGGCTTACCCAGGCTTCACTCCCTGCCAGGGCTCTGCTTGGGTAGGGGCCTCGGACCTCCTCCCGTCTCTTACACTTTGTTGACTTGCCTCAGCCGCTGGAATTGTGGATACAAGTCTTTCCAGCCCCTTGTCCGGGAACCCCCTCGGACTGCCTTAGGGTGTATTCTTCTGCACCTGGCAGAGCCTTGTGGGTAGCGGGAGAATTGTTTGTCTATGTGCCTCTTGTTAAGCATCTCTCATCTTTCCATTCCTTGACTGTGTGTTCCTAGTATTGAGTTTAGGAGTGTGGGGCCAGAGATCATGGAAGCCCTGGCTCCTCTCAGCAGTCCTGGACATCTCAAGGTCAGTCTGACAGAGTCTTTGTTGGTGCTTGAGCTTGGCGGTGGCTGAGCATCACACTTCCCCATTTCCCAATCTTGGGCAGGCCCTACTGAGAGAAATACATAGAGGGGCTGGTCTTTAGCTTGGAGATTGACATATTTACATACCTTCTGCAACACTTAGGGTGCTTTCTGTTCTGAGCTGGTGCAGCGTGCTCTGCTCGGAGCTGAGAGTGGAGGGCTTTAGAAACACAGTTTCTTTTCCCGGCTGGCTGATGCTACTGTGAGTTAACTCTCTGCCCTCCTCCTTCCAGTCTGAGCTTGCTGAGTGATCTGAAAGACTTAAACAGGCGAGAGCGAGCAGAGCTAAGGCGACGAACCGTCCTGCTGCTGTACTACCTGCTGAGATCTCCTTTCTATGACCGATATTCAGAGTAAGGGGCCCCTGCTGGGCTTTTGTGAAAATTTCCCTTTTAACTGAAATAGCATCAGGGGACTGGGTGAGTACATCTGAACAGGTCTGGGTGCCTCTGACCAGGTTAATCTGAGCCCTTGCGTAACAGCTGCCCTTGCTGCTCCTGCTTTCAATAGCTGGGGCAGGAGGTGTCCAGTTGGACTCGTTCATATTTTCTCCCTCCATAGGGGCAGGATCCTCCTCCTTCTGCGCTTGTTGGCTGATTACGTGCCTGGAGTTGGCTTCGTCACACGTAAGTGGGTCCGGTCCCATTGTTATATCCCCATTTCTGTTGGTGAAGAAAGATGAGGGCAGTTGGGAACGTTTGCCAGTTGGTTGCTGATCCAGGGAAGGAATTGTGAAGTCCCTAGAGCAGTTAGTGCTAGTGCACCCTGTGTTGATGCTTGAGTCATTTTAAACTGGAAAAGGAAAGGATGAATTGCTTCCTAGCTTGATGACAGTAGTAAATCTCTGCGTGCCCTGAGGCTGCAGAGCTTGGTCTCTGCCACCTAGGCCTCTTCTCCTGTGCTTCCTTTCTGCCCCTCAGCTGGTGTACCAGGGCCCTGATTTGCAGCCCTGTTTCTGAACTCTTTTCCTTGACCCCTAGTTTGCAGGGGTAAATGAATGCTTAGAAGTATTGACCCAGTCAGGAACTGATTGTAAATCAAAGGGCGGAACCAGGTCTGTGTTATAGTCCTTCACCAGAGGATCCCTTTATTGTGGCCAGAACTTCATTGCCCCTCTTCCCTGATGATATGAATCTCTGTGGAGTGATTCATGGCAGTGATGTGACATTACATCACCCTGGCATCATGGGATTGCCCTTTCTTTGGGGAGATCACAAAGCTGGCTAGCTCAGGAGCCGCTTCCTCCAGTTAGTGATTTCAGACAGGCTTTAGGGCCTGCATTAAGGCATGTGCTACATAAGCATTTTCATTCAACAGCAAATGCTTCTGTGTTTGCACCTGCTCTCTACTGCTGAGTTGTCTTCCCTCTTCCCTGTGTCACAGCAGTGCCCTCCTGACTCTCTCCATGTGGATTTTCCCCTTGTACATTGTAGACCGCTCCCCCATTCCCATGGGAACTTGGATATGTCAGCTCAGAGGGAGTGATTTGTGTCCCACACCATGGCCATGCTGACCATGTTCCACATCCCGCTTGGTCCCAGCACCACATCGCAATGTTGCCTTCCATCTTGGCAAAAGTAACTGTTCTATTCTGGGGCTCATCTCAGTTGTGGAAGTAGAGATTTGGGATTGTTGGGTATCATAATGAGAAGGGGGGATATACCCTATAGACACACAGCATCAAATTCTTGCCTTTCTACATGTGTGATCCCTCTGTTCTCTTGTTTCAGGGCCACTGATGGATTACTTGCCTGCTTGGCAGAAAATCTATTTCTATAACTGGGGCTGATGAGAAGATGATTATTCTCTGCTAAGATCATGGCTGGACCTTTCTAAGGAGGGCAGGCAGGCTGGGGGGAGGGACGTTGATCATATCTAATTCTCAGTTAAACCATCAATGAGAAGCTCCTGTTCTGCAGGGTGGGGAGGGGGGTATATGTGGGGTTTTTAACGGATCTAGCTGTGAATCATGGACACTACATGTGTGCAGAGACTGGCCACCTATTTCTTGGACCGTTCTGCGGCTGCAGTGATGGTGGTGGGGCAATCTCTTTTTTTAAGCACTTGTTTTTTCTCTTTTTGTACAGCTGTGCTATAATAAAGCCAGGCAGCATAGTGGGGTTTTGGAGAACATTGCCTCACGTGTCAGGACGCTGAGGTTGAACCTGCAACCTGCTTGTGTTGGCCATGCCTGGCCGATCTGCTTGGAGCAGACTTGTCTGTCAAATAAACTGACTGATTGGAGAGAACTGAGCTGAAGGGCCTCTCCCTCATTGCATGGGATCCCCTCATATCTGGTTGCCAGCAGGTCTATTTCTGTCAGAAAGAGCAGCTTTTGCAGTTGTCTACCCTGGGATGCAGTCCCTTAGAAGCCTTTTGCTCTGGCCTGTGTCAGTCAGGGCCCTACATGTTGCTCAGCTGGTGACTGTAGCCTCCATAACTCCTGGTGCCTGGTTCAGTCCCCAGATTCCTGGGGTTCCCCTGGCAGTACACAGAGCTGTAGTGTGCAGGCTGCTTTCCTAGCACCTAATGTGTGCTAGAAGCTTTTGCAGAATGGTTGCCAGCCAGTGCTCAGGGGCTTGGCCAAGGGCAGAGAAGTGATTAATGCAGCAAATACTGCTGTTCCATATTAATAAAGGGCCCGGGAGAGGCCTGTATCTCCTCTGCTAATTAGGGGACACCAGTCTCCCTAGGCCAAGAAAAAGGAGTAGCCAGCTGGTGGCACTGGATTGCCCCACAGGCAGCTCCCTGTGCAGCGCTTGGAAGCTGGAAACTGCCAGGTGTGTGTGCCCCAAGTGGGTGTCAGCAGCGTTCCTACCTAAACCATGCCTGAGGGATTCTGAGGCTGCAGGGATCACAGCCTTGTTGCCTCAGCACCTGAAAGTGGGGACGTAGTTCCACATGCACTTCCCTAATGGGCCACCACAGTTGGGGACCACAGGACTGTGGTGGAGGGAATTTGTGTTGCCACCTGAGCTGACAAGGCCCTGCAACATGGCAACAGCAGCACGGAAAAGCCACGAGCAAGGGACTGTGCTCCTTTTGCTGAGTATTTTAGCAGAGGAAGATGCTGAAGACTGCAAAGTCTGTGAAGTGTTGGTGGGGGTCACTCCTGGGGGCAGTGTGGTACTGAGATGAGATGCAAGAGTCTGGTTTTGGAGGTGTTGAGAGGGAGGCAAAGGCAGGTGGTGAGGGACAGGAACAGCCCTGCAGCTGTGGCTGCACAGAGAGACATGCACCAGCACAGGAAGGGCTCTGAGCAGGTGGTGGGGCCCAGGCAGGACCATGCAGCAGGACCTGAAGGTGAGGAAGTAGGAAGAGGGGGTAGCAGGAGCACCTGGGAGGGGCTGTGTCCCCTGCCCCACCCGCTTGGTGTCCTGGGCAACTGGGGTGGCTACTCTGTGACCTCACTGCAGAACTGGTGGAACCTGTCAGTGTGCACCATGCTGCGCTGGCTTCTGCTGCTTGCCCTGCTGCTGGGGGCTGCCCTCTCACAGCCTGTGCGCCAGAGGTGATGGCACTTCCCTCTTCCTACTCCTCCAAGCCCTGGTACCTGCAGAGGTACCCCAGGGCTCCTGACATGGATCTGGCACTTGTGGCACAAAGATGTTGAGAGCTGGTCTTGCGCCAGCATGTGTAAGTGCTGTAGGACCTCAGCTCACTCCTGCCCCCTGCGTTTTCCTCTGTAGGGTCAGCTACTCAGTCCCTGAGGACTTCTCTGCTCCCCTGGAGCTTCCGCAGAAGCACTTTGGCCTGGTGGATGGTACAGTGCTCTCTTTGTCCCTCTGAACCTCCTTTCCATGCAGTCACCCCTCCAGGTGGGCGGTTGTCCCTAATCCCAGGTGCAGCTGGGCCAGCCGCTCTGCTCTGCCCACAGATTACGGCATCAAACCCAAGCAGCCGCGCTTCCGAACCCGGGCGGCCCGGGAGCGGCCGGCGGTGCTGCGCAGAGCTGGCAAAAGCAAGCGTGATGGTCTCGACTTGCTGGAGTACTACGACGATGCCCACCTGTGAGCCAGCGTGCCTCTGTGCCCACCACAGCCCTGCAGGTGAGGACTGGAGCAATAACCTCCAGAGGTCCCTCCTGATCATCATACGATCTCTGGCCTCCAGGGATTGCAGCCAAGGCTCCTGGACAAAACCCGAGAAGCTCCAGCTTCTCTTGGGGTTCAAAGGGAAGAAATGAGCCAGAGCCCAAACCCACTGCGGAGGGACACAAACAGGACAGTAGCTCTGTTCCATGAACCATCATATTTAATAGTTGTTGCCACCACAGCAGATCCAGCTGAAGCACAGAGACCGCTTGCTGCAGGGACTGGGAGAGCTCTCCTGCCTCCCTGATGCTTTGCACAGCTCCCTGCAGGTTTTAACCTTTCCCTGCCCAGCTTTGGGCAGGCACCCAGCTCTGTGCAGGGGCTGAGCCCCACTGCCTTAGGGTGCTCCAGTCCCTGCCTCTGTCACCTGCAGGTGGGGGGAGAGGGGAAAAGGGCAGAGAAAGGCTTCCCTCCCGAGGGTATAGTTACTGCAGGGAGGTATGGGGGCAAGTTTCTCTCTCCCCAGGGCATGGATACAAGAAGAGAGGGGACAGAGGCAGGAGAAAGCTGTCTCATCTCATTCTGGCTCTGGCAGAGGAGATACTAGGGCTCCCTCTGCCATCCCTGCCCAGCAGCCGTGTCCCCAGGGCCCGGCAGGGAGGTGATCCCATCTCCCAGCAGGAGCCAAGATGTGGGTCTTGTTTTCTGTAGCTGCTGTGTCATCATACTGCAAGAGATCGACTCTGCCACTGCAATTAAAAGTCACCCCAGATGGATGTGACGGGAAGCTGTGCCATGGTCACAAGGAGGAGATGCTGTCACCCCAGCCTGCAGCTGGAAAGGGCAGGAGCATGCTACTGCCCCCCCCCCAACCGCTCACAAGTAGGGCATCCAGCAAGTGCTTCTCCAATAGAATAAACTAAGAGTATTTTGTACAATAAACACAATTTGTCCAGCCCTCCCCCCTCCCGTCCCCCCAGCCCGAGGAAGGGGAGTCACAAAAAGAGGCGGTGCTCTGTGCCCCGGGGAGCCCTGCCCCGGGCCCGCTCCTCCTCCAGGCTCAAAGCAGCTCTTGTCCATGCACGACACGGGGAAGGGGCGAGACTGCAGCCCTGGCTGTGCAGGAGGTGCCTGTGCCAGCCCCTACTCCAGGTAGATGTCCTCCGTGGGGCATGTGTACTCCACATACTCCTTGTAGAATTGCTGAAAAGCCCTCCTGCAACACAGCACCAGGCAAAGCTGAGCAGCGTCCTCTCCACAAGGCAATTACAGATTCCCACTTCAATCCTCATCCTCACACCCTACCCTGTAGCCAGTTTGACCCTCCAGGCCCCAGTTCCTGTCCCCTCCTGCATTTGCCCCCAGAGCTGCAGGGTCTCCATCCTTGCTCTGATTCCCTGCACAGTGCATGACTTTAAGACATCTGCCTACAAAGCCCTGCACTGGGACTTGTTCCAGTGCTGTCAGGAATATGATGCCCATAGCCCTGTCAGCCCTGGCTCTCACCCCAAGCCTCTCATTCAAAAAAAGAGGCGCCAGCCTGGGGCCAGGTTCAAGCCCCACTCATATAGGGAGATGGTGGAATTCAGCCTGGTTGCCTCGTTCCTCCTGCCTGTTGTGAAATAGCCTTCCCTGCCCAGCCAGGACTCACCCTACAGATTCCGCCAGTGGCTTCGTGGACTCCTCCGAGACGAAGACATGACAGGCAAATCTGTGGTCAGCAGGGTGCTTGGTGATGAACCCAAAATATCTGAGGGCAGAGAGAACAGGTGTGACTGGACCAGCAGATTAGCAGGCACAGGTACCCCAGCATCCCTGAGGTGTACCCACCTTTAAGGCATAGGGGTTTGGAACCTGCAACCAACCCCCTGGTGGCTACCAGCTGCCACAGCCCATGCCCAGAGCTGGGATGTAATGCCCATTCAAAGGTTCTAGGAAACCTCCTCTTTCCTTCCTAGCCCAGTCTTTGCTACTCTCAGTGAGCAGGAAGACAGCAAAGCCTCTGCACCACTGCTTCCTTGCTACTCACTTGTTGTTCTTTGGATGGTACCCACAAAAGGAAATGTTCTTCAGCTGGAAAAAATGGCTACACTTGTTTACCTGGGGGGAAGAAAGAGAAGAACTGTCAAAGTTTCCCTCCTCACGCCCCTACAGAGCAGTTGGTCTCTGGAAACGTTCACTTGGAGACTGAGGAGTGAAATTAATTGGAGCCTGATCCTGGGCTGCTGTCAGCAGCAGTTTCAGGATTGCCCCAAGCACCTGCACAAAGAGCTTTTCCAGGCCTGCTGGCTCCCACCCCAGCTGCCTCTACTGCCAGTAGCTCCTCCAGGGTTTCTCTAGAGGCCCTGGGTTAGACTGTACTCAGGCTAGAGTCAGTGCTGCTGTTCACCAGCATACACGGCCCTTTTTCCTTGCTAAACAGGCTTTCAGAAACACCAGCAGATAGAAGGTGAATGGACAACTTAGAACAGGTAATTAGTTACGACAACTAAACAGGTAATTCAAGCCTGGGTATCCAAGGGGTCCCAACCAGAAACAAAAACTTTTTAATACAAGTTTAAAGCACAACTAAATCGATAGCATCCTCAAGATACAGGCAGGACTTATCTAAAAAGAGGTAGAAACCTCATCCCAGCTCTATCACAGCACTCAGAGACATGAACTACTCCTATCCTACAGCTGTAGGGGAGGTTTCCCAACAGCTTGCTGCAAAGCCCTCACTTGCCTCTGCTCAGCATCTAAACGCGCTTTACTAGGCTACTTATGCAGAATGCTAATCAGCAGCCTGCCCTAGCCAGATAAAGAGATTACAGGGCAGATCTGGAGGACACCACTCAAAATAGTAGCAGAAAGGTTTAAAAGCAGCTGACAGATTACTGGGTACAGCTCAGCTCACAGCATCCCAGCACAGTGACGTGCTTGGCAGCTGCGAGGGCATCAGTTGGCAGTATCGCCCAGAGCTGGGACCTTGTGAGGCATGGGAGACCCTGACGGTGGGCCTAAAACCCTGATGATGCTGTTTCTCACACCCTCACACGTGGCCTGGAGACCCTCAATTTTCATATGCAAACATGACCTATAGCACAGGGGGCACGACCCAGCTCAGAGCAGCAATCAGGGAAGGGATGAGACGAGCAGGGAGTGGGGCACTACCTTGCTGTGCTCCTTGGAGTCGTCAGCTTTCACAGCAATCTTGACCCCACGCACACTGATCTCCAGGACACAACTGGAGGGTGGGTTAAAGTGCACAGTGAGGCGGCGTGTGGTGGCAATCTGAGGAAGACAGAGAGACAAAGCCCTGGGACTTGTGAGCAGTGCTGATGGCTCGCCCCTTCCCTTCCCCACTGAGGCTCTGCCCTGCTGCCACAAGGAGAGGCACTCCTCCTCCCGAGGATGGTGTGGGATACTACCTTCTGCATGGCCGCGCAGAGCACGTCATTGCCCTTGTGATAGGGAACCTGCACCGAGCCAAGGAACTTCACCCGAAACTGGTCCACCCAGTCACTGCTCTTGGCCAGAGCTGGAAGAAAGAGCACATGGCAGGGATCATCTCTAATGACCAGGTGTGTGGGCTGAGCTCCACCTCCCTCTCCATCTTCCAACACCTGCACGTTTCCCTGCCCAGGGAATGCTTCCTGCAACACCAGGTACCAACACCCAGCATCGCAGCAGAAGCTGCCCATCACTCCCTCCTGGGTGCCCAGCTTGGTCCTCCCCTGCCACCCCTGCTCAACACCAACCACTGCTCAGCGGAGAGGACATGAACACAGGATGGGGACATCAGCCGGCTGCATTCAGAGGCTTGGTACCTGTTACATGGTCTGGGTCCTTGGTGACTTCAATAGCGTAGTAGGCGGGAAAAATACCCCGATCACCTGTGCGCATGTTGTAGGCCTCATACCAATAATCTTCCGCCTGCACCTCCACCAGCAAGGGATCATCCACCTCCAGCTCCAGCTCATCCGCATGGCGAGGCACAAACCTGGGTAGAGAGGCACTAGCAGCTGGCCATCGAGCAGCATTGGTGGCCTTCTCAAGGGCACACTGATGGGGCACCCACCACCACGCCAGGCAGGCAGCACCCTCATAAGATGTCATGAGCCACTAGGGCCTGAGATGCTAAATAAAGCATGGGAGCAGCTTCAGGTTCAAAAGGTGGCAGCATCCTGGCACCTAAGGCAAGGGTATTCCCTATTACAACCTCCCATGCTGCTCCCTAGAGGTCTCAAGTGCCCTTGGAGGGCTTGCCCATGCAGTAGCATGGGCAAATGTTGCTCCTTGGCAGGGCATAAACTACAGGCACTGGTTTATTCCCCAGGGCTTCCCACACTGGAAACACTAGGACTTGTGCTGGCTGCACCTTGGTGGGAGAGTAACATCAGCTTTCCCCTGAAAGAGGCTGGGGGCACCATTTGTGCCTGCAAGCTCACCTAAAGACAGCACGGTGAGTCTGCTCCTGCTCCTCCCCGTTGATCATGCAGGAGAACAACCCGAAGGACTCAGCACCTGCAGACGAAGGCAGAGGAGGACATCTCAGCATCGAGGGGCCAGCATCACAGCCAAGGGAAGGACATGGGCCGGGCAGGCTGCTGAGACTCCTAGGGGATGGCTCAGCCAAAGCCACACAATGCCACAGGCGAGGGAGGCATGCCTAGAGCCGCCACATTGGTGCTCATCAGTCCCTGTGGGCGAGATGACCTCCCTGCATCAACCCCAACAGTTGTGACATCTGGTGTCACCTGCTGTGTGGGACCAGCCACACCACGGGAAGCCCTACCTGGCAGGGCATGCCACTAGCCCTGGTGCTCTTCTAGGCTTGGGGAGGAGGGTGGCACACCAGGAGGTTGGTCCCTTCAAGCCACACCAGGAGCCTCCCCCTCAGCCCCTGAAGGCCATACCTTGGGCAAGCCAAATAAGCAGCCTGGAACACCTACCACCACTCCAACCTAAAGCTCACAAGGCTTTTCCAAGCCCCTCTCCCCCTGCCTCTCAGACCACCAGGGA